GCATGCATACTTTTGTATTTAAATTTAACCATTTAAAATAGTTTTACTAATTTTATAGTGGTACTGTTCATATTATTTGGTTGGATTTTCATATTTTCACAAGGCTAAAAATGTGACGTTATAAACTTTGGAGAAGTAGCAAAAATAAATAAGATATTGCAAAACCTTTCCAAAAACTTTCTACTGTTACACAAAGGGAAAAAAAGGTTTAAATATGGTTGTTTTTGTAAAAAAAAACAAAAAAAAAAACATCCCCTAAGACTTTTGCAGTATGTAAAATGTAGGCTATTTACAGTGTGCAAGCTGTGTTTTAGCTGGCCATAAAACAGGAACAGTGTTCACGGCCATTAAAAATGAAAATGTATTTTTTTTTAATGCAGAGGGAAAAGACAAAGGACAGTTTTGTATCTGATTGCAAATCTGCTCACGAACAGCTGTGAGGCTGAAAAACTGTCTATCCTTTCCATATCACCAATGTTTAGTGATGCATTAGAAAGAAGTTTAGAGAAGAGGGAATTGGATCACAGCAAAGTCAGACAAGATGTGAGCCTATATACAGTATATATATATATATATATATATATATATATATATATATATATCAGCGCACCATAACAAAGGAGAAAATAAATCACTCTCATTATGGAAGGGAAAAAAGACAGCATCTGAAACATCCAGTTCCATTACATGCTGCATATGTAATAGACATATTTATGCAAACAACCCTTTCTTATCCGTGTCTCATGAATATATTTTATGACAATGCTGCTTGTTAAACAAAGCGGTGTGTACTCAGCTATTCATGAAATCTGCTGTATATTTCCGCTCACGTTTACCTTAATCAATACCGATGTTACAGGGGTCGTTGATTTCTAAGATGAAAGTTATTAAGTGATAAACGGCAACATGAAGGGCTGCTGCTCATTTCTAGAACACTTTACGGTGCATCTAAATGTGTGTAATATAGGCCTTCAATGTGAGTTAGACGATGAGGTAGCTTTTAGCACTGCCGAAGATAATTATGATGATGATGCTGATGAAGATGGTAAAGACTATGGAGCGATCGAGCGAGGGAATGTGGATTTTTTTTCTTAGTGAAGACAAACAACTTTAATGCTTTCTAACCACGTTCAGCAGCCATGTGCAAATGGGGAGGATTTGCATTTCCTCATGCATATATGTCTTCTCTCAGTCCCACAGCACACACAAAAGAGCTTCATAAAGCCTGGCTGATGAGATTTGCTTGCTTAGGCGATGTATAAGTTTATCTTAACTTTCCTGGAAATGTACTGAACAGTTAGAGAGATAGCATTTGCAGTTGTATTATAGAGAGTTCATGTATTGAGTAATGAAGTTCTTGGACAAGTTATTTAATATCCATTTCTTTCTTTCTTTCTTTCTTTCTTTCTTTCTTTCTTTCTTTCTTTCTTTCTTTCTTTCTTTCTTTCTTTCTTTCTTTCTATCTTTCTACTTTCTTTCTTTCTTTCTTTCTTTCTTTCTTTCTTTCTTTCTTTCTTTCTAATGTAGTTAGTCCTTACCTTATTATTATTATTATTATTATTATTATCATTAATATTAATATTATTTATTAATTAGTATATTTTTCATTATTTGTTTATTTATTTATTGACTGATTTATGCATTCATGAATTTATTATTATTATTATTATTATTAATTTGTATATTTTTCATTGTGTGTTTATTTATTTATCGACTGATTTATGCATTCATTATTATTATTATTATTATTATTATTTATTAACTATTATTATTATTATTATATAGTGGGGACATAAAACATTGTTGAATTTGATGTGACACAAGGATTTAATTTGATAAAATATAAATATACGGTAGATTCATAAATTTTATGCTTACATTAAAAAATTTATGAATGTAATGGCATTAGGTCAAACCAAGTAGCATTTATTTGAAGGAAAGAACAATAAACTTAACGCATTTTTAAAAAGTAAATAGACATAATTTAAATAAATAAATACAGATTTGTCTCAATATGCACAGTCATTTCCTTTTCATAGTCTTTGGGGAGAAAAAAAATGCATTTCAAAGGATATTTGGAGGTCAGTGGCAATATGTGGAATGTTTGTATTCACCAAACCAAAACTAATCATAATGAAGTTTCATATTGCTGCTGGAATATTGCTCATTTCAGAAAGGTTGGAAGTGTTTGCTTTTCATCTTCTGTTTAGATTCAAATGCATGTCTGATATCAGTCAAAATGTGAGAGACACAATATATTAATATAAACTATAGTGTTTATGCAATGTCTTAATATTAACTTTATTACATTTTCCTTTATGTATAAACCTCACTTGAGTATGTAGCGGTGTGGTACATTAAATATGAATACATCCAAAGGCTTTTTTAGTGTCTATATTCGTCACAGACGTGATCTCTCAACCGAACACTCTCCGTTCCAGTAAAATAACACAATAACATGCTACCAGATACTTCACAGTTACTGATCTACTGACAAACAGAGGCTATTTTCATGACCTCTTGCACTTAAAGGAATAGTTCACCCAAAAATTTACACGTACTGAAAATTGTATCACCCTCAGGGCAACCAAGATGTAGATTAATTTGTTTCTTCATTGGAACAGATTTGGAGAAATTTAGCATTACATCACTTGCTTGCCATTGGATCTTCTGCAGTGAATGGGTGCCGTCAGAATGAGAGTCCAAACAGCTGATAATAATCAACAAGTGGTCCACACAACTCCAGTCCATCAATTAACATCTTGTCAAGTGAAAAGCTGTGTTTGTAAGAAGCAAATCCATAATTAAGAGTTTTTTTTTTGTTTTTTTGTTTTTTATTCAAACAGTTGCTTCCGGCTAAAATGCGAGTCCTCTATTCATAATATTCCTTTCTCCAGTGAAAATGTTGTCTTGTCTGAATCGGGAGAGTAATATATGCACAGATTAAGCACCATTTACAAACGAAAATGTTCCAAAATGGTTCTAAACAAATATGTCTGTTGATTTTGATTTGAGAGGACAACAAGGGATAGAATTTTTCACTGAAGCATTATTATGGATTATAGACTTGTATTTTGGCCATAATCAGGTTGAAATGCCTTAATGATGTATTTGTTTCATATGAACACACTGTTTTTTACTTCTCAATATGTTAACTGATGGACTGGAGTTGCATGGATTACTTGTGGATTATTGTGATGTTGTATCAGCTATTTGGACTTTCATTCTGACGGCACCCATTCACTGCAGAGGAACCATTGGTGAGCAAGTAATGCAAAATTTCTCCAAAACTGTTCCGATGAAGAAACAAACTCATCTACATCTTGGATGACCTGAGGGTGAGTACATTTCAGTCAATTTTGGGTGAACTGTTCCTTTAAGGACTGAAATATTACTCCGAATCACATCAGCTCATGCTCTACTAGGTGTCCGAACCCCCCTAAATCCCCCTTGAATATTCTAGAGTCGCTTCTGGGATTTTTATCTGATCTTGTTGTTTGGGTCAGAAAGCGGTTAATAGCTGTTGTTATGAGCAGAAACCTAATCTATATTCAGTCACTACCATATACCAAAACAGCTGTATTTATGTAATACTTGCCTTGACCTTTGGCGTATTTCAGTCGCAGGTTTGCTCATTGGTGTTGAAAGCGAAGCAATGGACTATTTACTAATGCACAGACAAGCCAGATCTAAATTTTTTAAGAGTTCATGATTTATAAATCAGATAGCTGTTATCGCTCATGGCAGGACATGTTTACTTCTGTGAAGCATACTGAGAAGTCTGCTGCTTTAATGGTGTTAGGCGAGACAGCTTGCTTTTGTCCATGGACACGCATTATTTTTCATATTGTGAAATGGCTTGTTACATAGTTGACAATCTTTTTGAACAGAAAATCAATAAAACATGGCAAGGACATCATTGTTCTACTTCTAAACGCTGTTCTGCAGAGGTATTTTAGAGACGCAATTGGAACAAACCTGATTTCTTTTTCTACTGAGACATTACTTGCTCCAATGTTTTGACACCGTGCCTTTTCTTCTTCCCTTTGAGGCCTGAGCATTCCTGGCAGTACGAGGACAAAATCATTCTGTAATTACTGATCCTGTCATCGGATGTTAATTGCGACTGACCTCCAGGGCTGTTTATAATTATGCAGTCCTGCAATAACTGCTAATCTCCTAGAAACAGAATATTCCAAAGTCCTTGAATAATGTATTTTTTGTCTGTGCAATATTCAATAAAGTGCAATCTGATACAAAATGAGGCGAGATAATTGTTGTTACTCCAAGTTAAAGACTGAATGTTTTGATTTGCGGTTGTTGTTTTTTTTTCTGTTTAGACATTGATTGCTTTTGTCTGTGTTTCTGATGCATCCAGTCTGACCTTTTTTTTGCTTGTGGCTCTGGTTGTAAGAAGTCTTTAACCCACTTTGCTTTACAGTAACAGTCAGTCGGTGTGAGATGCTGGTGCTTTGAGCACACCAATGAGTGTTAAGCACAATCCTCCTGTGCATTCAAAAGACAGCTATTGATTTGGCCTATAGAGCCAGAAAGCTTTAGTCTGCCAAAGGACTTTCATGTGATTGTGAAAATCAAAAGTGTCCAATTTACTTTCTTAATACTCTCTGCTGATCTTTATGGAAGCTTGTTTCCTTTTTTACAGTAAACTATAGAAAAGTAAATGTGAGATTAAAGTTTAAAGAGATGCAAGTTTATATGTATTTATTTATTTATTTATTATTATTTTAACTAAAACTATTAACATTTCTGGAAATTTGAAACAAAATAAACTAAAGTTGAAGTACTAATTGCTCAAACTAAAATAAAAGTAAATTAAAACTAAATAGGCATGCTACAAACACTGATAAAAATGACAATAGCAATTAACAAAATTACTAAAATGAAAAATAATCAAATCTAAATACTGCAATACTAAAACTTCTAAAACTGCTAGCCCTGCCCTACTTTATTCTTTTTAACTCTGCCTTATGTCTCACTAGGAAGTCCACCTGCCTCGGGCACGGGTACGCTGAAAATCACTCTGGAGGACGAGAACGACAACGCTCCCTATGTCTTCCCCTCCGTGGCCCGCGTGTGCGAGGACGCTAAAGACATGAATGTGGTGGTGATCGGGGGACGAGACAAGGACATTCATCCTAATACAGATCCTTTCAAGATCGAACTTGGCAAACAGCCAGGACTGGAGAAAACATGGAAAATCTCCAGGATCAATGGTAAGTTAATTCTCAAATGGGACAGAGACAGGCACTGACCCACGGTTAAACACATGCCGGCTATTTCTAGGGCCGGTTTGAGGAAATACAAAAGGTGCTTTCACTAAAGGAAAAGTTTACCTTAATATAATGTAAGCTTAATTGATTTATTGTTGATTAATCAATTTCAGCACAAGCGCATTTAGTAAAAATGTGATTAGGTGATGTAAATACTGCATATACTGTACATGCATACATTATTAAAATTCTCTATAAATTAATTACTTAAACTGCAAAAAAAGCGTTGTTTCAATGGAGGAGACAAAATATGTGATTGGGCTAATTTTGGGTTACATTTGATTAGTAGTTGGGCTGGTTTTGTTTCATAGACCTGGCAACCCTGTTCTAATGGTCACTTAAAAGAACCTTGTTTTTTCTTTAGTTTTTTTTTTTGTGTGTGTAATTTTAATTTTAATAACCTTAAAAAAAACTTTTTCCACTATTAAGAACCTTTTGTGCAATGAAAAGTTTACATATGTTCAAAGTTCTTCTTTGAACCATATGTTCATTATTGGCCTTTATTTTTATAAGTGTAGTCTACAAGCTATACCAGCACCTATCCAGCATGGAAATTAAACTTCTAGTGTTTTCATCAGGGTCAGGTGGGTCACATGCTGCTGAGAGGGAGAGGAACGGTCTATTGTCCCAGACAGTGTGTATCATTAGATATCACGCTGACCGAATAGCTGAGTGTATTTGGGGTTTATCTTAGCAGACTCTCGATTACCCATCTCCTGAGAGCACACACTCAAATATAGAAAGGCATGTGAATCTCCAGACTTCTGTCAGCTGTTTGAGAAGAGAATCAGTGGCAGATGCTGTGATACTGAGAGAGAGACAGAACAAGAGAGGACTGGTGAGGTGATTTGAGGTTGAGGGGTTTATAAGTATTGTATAGAGTTGAAGATACTCTCTGACTGACATGTAAAGCAACCAGAAGTATTTTTCTGATGTCTTTCAGACACTCACTCCCAGATCATGTTGCTGCACAGTCTGAAAAAGGCTAACTACAACCTGCCGCTGGTTCTGACCGATTCTGGCATCCCTCCAATATCCAACAACACAGAACTGAAAGTTCAAGTGTGCACCTGTAGGAAGAACAGAATGGACTGCAGCCGTGCCAGCTCCATCCAAACAAACCTCTTGCTATTGCTCGGCCTGGTTCTGCTCTCCATCCTCT